AGTTGTTTGCTGCTATATTCATGTTTGAAATCTCATATAAATAAGCATTATCAGTAAATTCACTTTTTGAGTTGATAAATTTGCTCAGTAAAGCTCACGACAATCTACGGTTCGACATTAACATTCATTCATAAATTCAGCTCAGTTCATTTTCAGTGAAACATGAACACAATGTCAGAATGAATAAATTATATAAAAGGAAATAGCAATTCGGTCTGGTTACCAGGCTACCAGTGGGACCATGAATATTTACATCTGGCATTTTACAATAATGTTCATCTGGAAGTTGGGATTTCTTGTTTTAGAACAAAGTGTCGGACTGACAGTGTTCTGACTCATATACACGATCTTTCACATTTCCTCTTCATGTGTGTCTTTTGTCCTCTCAGATCCAGTCTCAGTGGATCTGGACCCGTATGATGTGGTGTCTCTGTCTGATGCCCTCAGAGGTTTTCTGCAGGATCTTCCCGCCCCCATCATCCCCTCTACAGTCTACAGCGAGCTGGTCTACTCTGCTCAAGGTACAGTGTGCTACAGTGGAAAACACACGCAGGTGCACTCATGTCAGGTCAGGCTAACAATGTATTAAAGGGTCACACTAACCGCCTCTAGAGGTATCGATCATATAGAGTTTTGGTTTTATTTTTTCAAGGTTTGTGGTGCTCTCAGCAAGTAAAAAAGAATCAACAGCATTCGGAAATGCTCTTCCATGTGCACAGCGTACAGTTCTTCCCACTTTTTGATTCAATCTTGAACAACAGATTAGAGTATATACAGAGAGCCAGCACCTTCCTTCCTGAAGCATGAACTGCAGTGCGCCTGATTCAAGGCACTGTACACTGACAGTTAAGTACTAAACTAAATCAACCTTAACTTAGCATTCATTTCGTCACCATAATAAAGCATAGTGTTGAATGCATAGATAGGCTAACAATCACGTTACATCTTAAGCCAAGAACACCCACCATGTGTAAAGACGCACACATCATTCAGGCTTTGATATATTTTTTTGTCCACCAAAATCTGTAGTTTGCGTTGAGGCAATTCAACTGTTTTATGTCAAGATTCAGTCCAGTGGATGTTGCTTACATAGAAATTGAGAGTGTATAACTTTGGAAATGCTATATAACTTTGTGTTATGTGCAACCAATCAACATAAGAGTGTCAAGATTTGCAAAAATCATATAAATTGGTTTAATTCAAGTTCAAAACTAAGCTAATTCCTGGTTAGCTGTTAGCTGTTTCTGAGGCTTCTGCCATGATGAATGTGCCTGAGCTTTTCGCAACATTGCTGAGGAGGGTTTTATGACTTAGATTTCAGTTTTTATCATATAACATCTTTGTGGCATGTTCGCTAACACTGCACTAACACTATTACTGCAGGACCTCACTGTGACCCATTTCCATTAGAGCTACTTTCTACCAAAGAAACAGTCGACAAAACTGGTGAAATTATGATCTGCAGTTATTCCGGGTGAAAGACACGTTGCTGCATATTTCCTCTGTCACTTGCCATGAGCGCCAACGCTCGTCACACCTGACAGATTCCTGCCATATCTGGATGTAAAGACGACAAGGCTGTACCCTCTCGTCAGCATCAAATTCCTTCTAATCTCCTGACAGCTTCAGGATTATATAAAAACAGACTGTGTGCTGAAACGTGGCTTAGAGCCCGGTTCTCTCTCTCTTTTCTCATTTTATGTACAGCTGACCTGCTTGTTCCCCCTTTCACCTGCCGCCCACCTCGCCCAGTAGGACCTCCTCTCTCCAGCTTTTAGGAACTCTCGCACTCTTATATATTTTTAATGAACCTACCTTGACATTCGCTGTTTCGTGCTTTAGGTGGGGGGTGTGCGTGCCGGTGTGTGGAAATAAAAGAAAGTCAAAGACACGTAGACAGATTGTGCACGTTAGCATGCGTTTGTCAGGACAGAGGCATCGTCTGAGCTCGCAGGAAGTTCACACCAGCTTCCCTGCAACCTGCTCCCAAAAAATGACTGGGCTAAGCTCCTCGACATGATCTCCAACTGAAAACCCCTTCAATTATGTAAGTGCTTTTCTTTCTCTCTCTCATGGTCCTCGACCCGTTAAGTGACAGCCCTTTTTTTAATTTTACTTATTCATGGAATCATTTTAAATCAGGATAAACCACTTTGAAAGGGTGCATCAAGTGTTTTGTACAGGTCGCCTGAGGTCAAGCCAATTGAAATTGAACTTCTTATTTAGGAAGGGGTCACTTGTAGAACACTGAGTGATTCCTCCCATGAAATCAGAGGGGATTATAAAACAGGTCTGAAGCATTTCATTTATACACTGAGGATAAGTCACGCAATAAGATTGTGAGATCCCTGAAAAGTAAACTATTTGCTCAAGGGCAAGTGGTGAGAATCTTTTATGTCCCTTCCTGCTGCTTCTTCTTCTTCTTTAGCTGCTATTTAGGTCTGTTTAGGTCTATTTAGGTCTTCACTCTGTCTTGAAACCCTAAACCATGAGACCTGTCACTCAAAGCGGTCATGTCGTAAATTATGTATAACTTCCAGCCCTGATATAATAATTTAAACAAGTGTCATCATGACAGTTGTCATGAACAAGGAAATTAGCTATAGAGACCGAAAACAGTTTTTTGAACCAGGCTATAAACATGTTTATTTCTGCTGTAAAGTTGGACAGTTGGGACCTTATGGAGATTGACTCACTGCTGGAGCCAGCCTTTAGTGGCCATTTGAAGAACTGCAGTTTTGTAACTTCTGTTTTGGCTTCTAATAAAGTCACAACATTTTGTGGGAGTTTATTAAAAAAATTTCCAATGCATTTTTTAGCATTGAAATTTCAGGAGAAGGTGAAAATTGTTCCAGTGAGAATACAATTGTTTGTACTTTGGTGACGTATGGCTCAACAGTTGGCATAGAGGACGGCTATGATTGGTAAAACTGCCAGGAAACTACAATGAACAAACTTCCTGGAGGGACTGAAAGCGTTAAGCGCATGAGGAGGTGTTTTGGGTGGTGAAGGTCGCATACAGCGTTGGTATGAGCGTATCAGATCTGTAGACTAATAATGAGTAATGACAAGTAATTCAGGCCATACTGTACACCTGTATGAATGTGACTGAAGTATGAAATGTAAGAAACATCAGTGCTTTTTGCAGCTATTTTCTGAAAATACCAAATACATTTACCTTCATTTTATCTGCAACTGTAGGTTAATTGCCTCATAGCCACATCCACGTATTTGATAGGTTGTTTGACTCATATATATATAAAACAGTACTGTCATGATCGCCTGCAAGAACTGTTCTGTATATGCTGGGCTGGAGGGCAGGTTGTGATTATATCCATATGGATGGAATCAGTCAAATTTGCCTCATATGAAGGCAGGGACTGTCTCTCCTGTCTTAGTCAAATCCCTGAGATTTGTTGATGTTGCAACAGTTAAAATTCCCTCTCATTCCTTTTTATTTGCTACCTTTCCTCCGGCTGTCCTGCTCTCTGGGAGACGAGTCATTCTCGCATCTGTTTGATCTGCATCCATTTTTCCAGTCGGTCGCTCATCCTGGGAAATTCCCATACTCCATTAGAAATAAAGATAAAAACGTCCAGAGTTGGAAGGGATTTTAGGATACCTTTCCAGCCCTACTGACCCACCGATGGGAAACACAGTTTTGTTCAGCCGCCCACAAACAAATATAAAAATGGTAGTATTGACTATTACCTAGTAAGTACATGAAAACCAACTGGGGAACTAGACAGTATAACGCAATCAAGGTGTGAGTATAGTACCCATAAGGAAATGATAGTAAGTACTAAGTTATTACATAGTAAGTACATGAAAACATGTATCAAGTCAAGTCAACTTTATTGTCAGACACATACCCACCTGCTGCATGTCGTCACCCCTCTCTCCCCACTTTCCTGTCTTTCTTCACCTGTCCTATCAAAATAAAGGCATAAAAAAGCCCAAAAGATATCTTTTATATATAGAATATACGGCCAATCTGTAAGTATCCTGTAGTAGCTCAATGTGTCATGGATGCTTATGCAATCTTTTTGTGTATTAAACACTACTTAAGTGACAGTAAATGTCCAGGCTTGAAGTACCCAAAAAAATTACCTAATTACAGTAATGTGAGTAGTTGTAATTGGTTACTTCCACTCCTGTTAAGGTCACACAGTCTTTCGAGAAATGTCAAAAGATGCAAAATCCCATTTGAGCTCTAAAATTAGGCTGCAAAAAGTGTTTTTGGAGGCTGAATTAAATAGAAAACTGTAGGCTTATGTGCGTCATCACAGAGTCAAACTCCATTTAACCCTCAAATTAGTCCAATCATTTTCTATTTCAGAGCAATCTTTATTCTGTTGTTTTTTGGTAACACAATAATTACATTTGTTGTCATCAGATGGGTGTAATCCTCCTATAATCCTCCTCTCATCTGTTCCTGCAACACTCTGACCACAATCAGCCTTTTGTCATTAGAGCCGTGCCGGTTTTATTATTTCCAGCTTTGTTTAAAAAAGGGGGATCGTGACGCTCACATGTGCGAAAGCACATTTTTTTAAACTTGTGTTTGCTGCAGAGGAGAGATGAATGAATGTGATGCTGTTTGAGGTTTTTTATTTTCTAAATTAAAGTCACAGTTCACGCCTGCCGTATTCTTCCTCATCCTCCTTCTGTTGTCGCTCCCTGAGTCACCAATCTTTCTGATTTAATCTGGGACCTTCTACACTTCCTCCCCTCTGCCCTTTTTCGTTTTTATTCATTACTTTGCCTCCCTCCCTCCCCGGTGTCTATTTTTTATCCTGTCCCTGTCTTTTCTCATTCATTAGTTTTGCGAGAATTAGTTAACCCTAATGGTCTCACCGAGGTCATCGTCTGCGAGGATAAAGGCCAGCTGGCCGAGTCTGACTGACCACTGTCCATCTGGACCTTCAGAGGAGAGACTGCGGACTCCTTCAGAGATAAAATCTCATGTGTTTAATGGGACTATAAGATAAGACATTTTCTATATAATTCCACTTTTTCCTTTTCAAAATGTAACATCACATGGACATGTAGCACTCAACCAAGGGCCCAGGGTGTCCACAGGGTGTTAAAATATCCAATAATCTGAATTTAAGGCCTTGAAATGTCTTAAACATGATATTGAAGAGGCGTTTTTTCTTATTAGGGCCCGAGCACTGAACGTGCGAAGGCCCTATTGTAATTGAAGGAATTCTTATTTTTCCTCC